GGGCAGTTCCACTCTGTCCTCTAGGGGCGCTGCAGGAATCCACTCCCCTGCAGTGGGTTTCATTGGGTGGTTTGGATATTTACACGAGATACCTTAAGAGGGAAGAGAAGAGAAGGGGCCAGGCCTGGGTCTGGGAGAGAAGACAGGGCAGCCAGCTGAAGCAGCCGAGAGACCAGGGACCAGGAGCTGAGCCAGGAAAGAGCTCCAGGGACAAGGCACTCAGCAGTCCTGGGAGACTGTGGGCCATGGCTACGCCCACAGTGGACAGCAGTGGGCACAGGGGGAGGGCCGGACGCCAGGGCAGGCACCCGCCAGGCAGCAGGAGGGTCGGGTTTCCCTCGGCAGGGAAGAGGGGCATTCCTGCCTCCAGGTGCTCACCAGGCGCTGGCTGGCCCTCCGCTGGGGTCAGGCCGGGGCTGACGGCTGACGGGAGGGGCTGCTTTGTGGACGTGCCCCAGCTCCCCTTTGATGAGGCTGTGGATAAGGCTGGCGCCGGGAAGCGGGCTCTGATACATTCCCGACACACTGGAGCCGGCCAGGGACCAGGGACAGGCGGCATGTGGGTCCTACTGCAGAGGTTCTCATCGGAGGCGGGGGTGGGGGCCATCCCCAGAAGGGGAAACTGAGGCCCGATGGGGGGAGGGCCCAGAAGGTCAGTCTGGAAACACCGGGTCCACCCCTCCCAGGACCCTCCAGACAACCGAGTCCTGGAGAGGAGCCGCACACATCACTGCCAGGGCCTGGGCACAGGCAGGGCGCGCGGTCATCTGTCCCAGGCAGCAGTGACAAGACCTGCCCCCGGGCCTGCCTCCTGTGTCCCGTGTGAGATGAAGACCCTTCCCCCCAAGGCCGGGGCGAGGCAGTAAACGCGTGTGCATGGGTTTCCTTGTGCTTACTAATCTGTAGTGACTGTCATACGGGTTTCAGCCCAGCTCCCTGCGAGGACGGCCCCTTGGAGCCCACCAAGCCTGTCCTCATCTCACCCCCATGCACCAGGAGAGACCCCCACCAGCAAGCCCCCTGTGACAATCTAGAATCCTGAGGTCACCCCCACCCTCCCACCCCCTCAGCCCCTCAACACCAAGCGGATGGGAAGCTTCCCCACGACTTTCCGGTCCTTCCTCTCCTCTCCGTGGCCTCAGGGGCTCTCCCCAGGGACTGCCCTGCTCTGACCCATTCATTCATTCACTCCCTCACTCCTTCATTCTCCCCCTACCAACCTCATGTTTTGTTAAATGCTTGTGAGCGGCCATCTAAGGGGGAACTCTAGGTCTCTCCTCGTCCAGAGCAAAGAAAAGTGGAGACAATCAAACACACAAGGAAACAATTGGTCCCAGGGGCTAACAGACCACGTGAACCCCAGCCTCCGTGATCCTGAGACCGGAAGGATTGGATGGTGCTCCGGCTTCCACTGCGGACCACTGGGAAAGGCATCCCAGTGGGAGGTCCCGGACAGAGTGGGAGAAAAAGGTGAGACAAACTCAAAATCATTAAAAAAAAAAAGACCAGGCTTCCTGGTGTGATGGGGACTGGGGAACTGCCAAGCCTATGGCCCTTAGTCACCCTTCAAGCTGGGAACTGAACTCAACCCCGGGGCTCAACTTACACACAGACAATAAAACAAAAGAAAACACTGCTGTTGAGTGGACTCCGACTCACAGGGTTTCCGAGGTGGTGTCACCATGGAAGTAGATTGTCCGTCTTCCTTCTGGTTGGCAGTCCGGTGCCTCAGGCACTACGCCACCAGAGCTTCCACCCAAACAATGGTCGTTGTTATGTACCTTTGAGCCAGACCTGACTCATAGCAACCCCTTCTTGGGTTTCCGAGGATCGCTACGGAAGTAGATTGCTCAGCCTTCCTCCAGAGGAGTGGCTGGTGGGTTTGAACTGCCAGCCTTCTGGTGAGCAGTCAGATGCCTTAGGCACCCAAACAATAGACAAGCAACAAAATAAATAAATAAAGGCCGGGGTGGGGGTGGAGAAGGGAGTTTGGTGGACATGTCTCCTCCTCCAGGGAGCCCTCCCTGGGAGACATTGCACTTCACCTACTGAGCCCTAAGCACTTCATTTTTAACGGTGTTGTATTTCCAAGACCCTGAGGTTCAGAGGCTGAGTGAGAGTTTTCGTCCCTGGTGCACTCAGGATTCCGGATTCCATTTGCGTTTTCCTTTTGACAACATGCAGCCCCTTGCCAGCCCTGAGCACCTCCCCATTGGGGGCGGGAGTGCTCTTTCCTCAGGGAATGTGACATAGTACCCACCCCTTCCCAGCATGAGGGCCCCCAGCCCCCAGCCGCAGTAGGTGGGCCAAATGGGGCTCCGGCTGTGGGGTATTTTGGGCACCAAATAGGGAACCTTGAGGCAGCATCTGTTATGACGGGGAACCACAGCTGGGCTGCTTCCGGCCCTGGCCACAGAGGAGGCAGCTGCAGCTTGGGCCCTTGAACTTGGTAGCAGAATCAGGACTTCCCAGGAATAAGCAGGGTGCTGGGTGGGCGGGGGAGAGGCTGTGTGGGGCGGAGAGCAGAGACGACGGGGAGGCCTGAACTAAGCCAGGACCCAGAGCAGCCTGTGCAAGGCCCTGCCTGGGGTGACATGCAGGGTGCAAGGCAAGGAGGGCAACTGGGGGCGACGTGTGGCCACCGGGGGTCTGGGGGCCGGGCCGAGGGTGCGGTCTATGTGAGGGCAGTGGGGAGCCAGCGAGGGTTGGAAGCAGGAAGGGGCATGATCACACAGCAGCTGTTTGGAGAAGGAAGGGGCAAGGGTGCGTGCCAGACACAACAGGTTCATGACGCTGTTGCATATCCTGCTATGGCGGGGAATGACGGGGGTCTGAAAAGCCTGCAAGCAG